GCTTAGAGAGGGCTGAAAGCCCTATGAAGCGGTTATATAAGTCTAACTGCTATTGCTATTGCTATTTTGTCTGCTTTTTATTTTCCCCCGTTTCTACCATTTCATTACCCTTCCCCTCTTCTTCCCTCATTTCCTGTTGTGTTGCCCAGTCCGAGTTTTGCTATTTAAAAAAAAAGATTGATGGATCCAGACAGAAGAACGGTGACCAAAGTTTTGCGTGACTCCTTCGTTCTCTACTTTCGAGAAAGGGACCTAGGCGTGCTCTTTCCATCCTTTTGTGAATAGTTCCTTCCAAGCGAGTAACGTTATTTAAAAGTGAAACGTGGCTTTTTTTTTGCTGCTCTCTCTAGCTTCGATTGCTGGATACTTTGCCCAGATAGGAACCATGAAAGAGGAAGTCAAGAGGTTTTTTATTTTCCCCCGGAACCGTATTTCGAGAAGAAACGGTCTACATTCAGAAGGTGAACACAGATTCCTTCAGCTGTGTTTGTAACTATTTGTACAAAAAAGAAGAAAAGAAGAAAAAACCAGGTGTCGAATTTTAAACTGTTTTAAGATTTTTTAAAAATCTGTACAGGAGTTCATGGCATCGTTTAAAAAAAAATAATGAGGCCAAATGAAACCAGACCTAAGCTAAGATTTGGGGTGGGAGAAAGTAAGTATTGTATTAAAGTGCTGTAAATTTAGAGGGTGAATATCTGGAGCTGGGACTCCAGGCGAAAAACAGGTGTGTTGCGAATCTCTCCGCGTCGAACAATACAAGTTGTTTGCATCTTTAAGTTTCAGTTTTTCCTGCTTGTTATTTCAAGGATTTTTTTTTTAACCTAACAAGAGTTTTGTGATTTGGTGGTGGTGGTGGTGGGGGGGAGGCAAGGATTTAGGATAGTGAGGTAGAGCTGAGTAATAGAGTTGTTCCCCTGAATACAAAATGGTCTAGGACAGTGTTTCTCAACCTTGGCAACTTGAAGATGTCTGGACTTCAACTCCCAGAATTCCCCAGCCAGCGAATGCTGGCTGGGGAATTCT